GGGGCAGGCCGGCCCCATGGCGACGGTAGGAACAAAATTTTCCGCCCCCCTGGTAATTCAATGCAGTTTTGATCAATCCTTATTTGAATGGGCATTTTTGCCAAGAAATCAGTCCCCAACAAACAGGGTACCACGAGGGACTTAGAGATCAGCACGGTCCCTGAAGCCGACACCCCCCCAATGGATATGTTGGCGTCCACCTGGCCCACAATGCCCATATTTCCCCCGTTCGCCGCTATGCATGAATCATAAACCGCTCGCACTTTCCCTGGCGGGATACCCAAAAGATGGAAAATGACATCCGAAATAATGGTCGCGGACGCCCCGGAGTCCACCAAAATACGCACCTCGACCCCTGAATAGAACCCGGTACCGTGGACGACCCCGTAGCGGCCGCAACTACCCTCCGTGCCAATCGGCGCCATTGCGTCAGCGAGCGACACGGGTCAATCGGACACACGGACCGCGCGGCGATGGTGATGCGTGAGGTGACAGGCCTTGCCGGGTGTCTCGTGCGCACCGACTTGCCTGTCCCGGTGGGTCTTTTTGCGCGACGTCCGTGGTCAAGGCCTCCTGCTGGGGCGGCCCCGGGATGCGAGCCGAACAGTCCCTGGCGAAGTGGCCCTTACGGCCGCAGCGGAAACACTCCACGTTGTTCCGACGCGCGGCACCCCCCTGTCCCGGCGCTCCCGCACCGGTGGCCCGGACCTCGGCCCCGTCCCCCCCCGAGAAGGCCACTGGGCGGAGGCGGCCGTCAACTCCTGCGGACCCTTGTCATCAGGAACGTAGATCGCCTTTGCAGGATCCCACCCCATAGCACCGCCTTCAACGACGGGCCCCCCCGTCCAAGCTGACACCTGCTTCCAGCGTCGGAGATTAAATTGAGCGTCCAAGCACTTAGCCACAGCACGGGACGTCAATTTATCATGGCTGCACACCGGCATGGGGATCCCCAGGTCTCTGGATAGTTCGAGCATCTTGCCCAACACGAGGGGCTCCAAAAAATCGGGCTCCGTCTCGGGATATGCCGCCATCGCCAGTTCCAGTACTGCGCCCCTGAAGGCCACGGGCGATTCCTCCGGCGCCCGTTGGCGCTGAACAAATCTCCGATGGGCGTCATCCGGAGGCTCGTACGCATCCGCCATCTCCTCGAAGACACCCTGCAGCGTCTTGTTCTTGTCGGCCTTGATGGAGCGGAAGAATCCGACGGACTCGTCGTCGAGAAGTGTTGGTAAGACTTCTAGGGCCTCCGCGTCCGTCCATTTGGCGGAGCGTACGGCCGCTTGAAAACGGCAGGCGAATGCGCTCCAATCGCCGCCGATTAGGAATTCTTTGACCGTTGTCAAATGACGGCTGCAGGTTCTTGCTCCTCTGTCCTCCGATGGTGACATGCAGGGCAGCGACAAGATGGCGTCGCTCCGCAACGTGTGCAAGATGGCCGCTTCCCGCGGCGGAGGGCGCAAGATGGCGGCTTCCCGCCGTTCCTCCTCGGCCACGCCCAAAATGGCGTCTTCGTGCCGCGTGGTCGAGAGGGCTGATGGCGACGGCAAGGCCCCGGCCCGTTGTTCCCCGCCGGGCCTCCCCGAAGTCGTCGCCGGCGTCACAAGGACGCACAATTGCGCCAACACCGTTTTCAGCGCCTCCAGTTGCGCCGCCACCTGTCACCATCCGTCCTCAGCGTCCAGTCGCGCGGATGGGCCCACCGAGGCGGCCACGTCCTGCACGGCTAGAACCCCGCTCGTCCCCGCTCCGCTTTCCTCCTCCATCGTGGGTAGCGCCACCGCTGGAGGGAGGTCGTCGTCGGAAGATGTTGCCGAAGATGGTGCAGGGACGGTCTTCCTCCTGAGCTGTTTAGACATGTTGTTTCACTTCTGACACCAATGTAATGAAGGACTCTCTCTCAGATGTCGATCTCCGTTGTCTTTTATTGGGTTCGTAGAATCTCGATACCACGGCGTCTCGCTCAGGCCCGCGTCCCGCTCGACGACCTCTCCACAGCCTCGGCTGCTCCGATATGCAGTCTCCCTGCTCCTCCAATATGCAGTCTCCCTGCTCCTCCAATATGCAGTCTCCCTGCTGCTCCGTTAGGCAATCCTTGCAGCCACACCGCTGCTCCGCTATCTAGCGTCACTGCTGCCCTTACACAGCTAGCCTCTCATAGCCCCGCTAGCTCTCTCCGTCTGACACCGTTGGCCGACGGTGTCGACGTCTCCCAGCTCGTGGCTACCGCGCCACTCTCCCCGTCTTGCCCAGCGTGGCCTCCTCGTGTTTCACTCCGTCTCAACACCTCTTTCCCCTTCCGGTTCTCTCCCTAAGTCCTCTCACCCACGTGGCCCTAACTCCACCCACTCCCCACGTGACCCAGACTCCGCCCCCCCTCAATCCTTGCTCGCATTACACTAGTATATTGTTTTTGTAGCGCTGTATATATTTATATTGGTATTTTACTAATAGCAATTTTGACTCCCTAGGAAACAATGATGTCAAGAAAGAGAAAAATTGACTCGGAGTGTAGGATATTCAAAGAACAGTGGACTTATGATTACTTTTTCATGCAGTACAAGGAAAGAGCTGTGTGTCTGATATGCCAGAATATAGTGTCTGTGTTCAAAGAATACAATGTACGTCGACACTATGAAACTCAACATAAAGATAAATATGATTGTTTGGTCGGAGAAGTGAGAAAAGATAAAATATTAAAACTGAAAAATACATTAACAACTCAGCAAAATACTTTTGTGAAGCAGAAGCAGCTAAATATTTCATCACTGCGAGCAAGTGTTCAAGTTGCCAAGCTAATAGCGTGCACTGGCAGACCATTCATGGAGGTAGAATTTGTTAAAGAATGCCTTCTTTCTGTTGCCAAAGGGGTGTGTCCAGAGAAGGCCGATTTATTTAGTACAGTGAGTCTTTCAGGACCTACAATTACACGGAGGATTGAAGAAATGGGAGACAATTTGCATCAGCATTTGCAAAACTCCACAAAAAAACTTTCCTATTTTTCCTTGGCACTCGACGAAAGCAATGATGTTCGTGATTCTGCACAACTTCTAATTTGTATTCGTGGGACGAATGACTATTTCGAAGTCACAGAAGAGCTTGCTGCACTGCAAAGCATCAAAGGAACAACTACAGGAGAGGATATCTATGAAAAGGTTTGCCAAACTGTGAATGGGTTGGAGCTGAAATGGGCTAAACTAGCCAGTGTGACAACTGATGGTGCTCCTAGCATGGTGGGGTCTAAGAAAGGAGTAATTGCTCGCATTAACCAAGAGATGGACAAACATAACCATTCTCATCCAATAGCCATACACTGCCTCATCCACCAACAAGCGCTGTGTAGTAAATCACTGAAGTGGGACTCTGTTATGAAAATTGTGGTATCTTGTGTTAACTTCATTAGAGCTCATGCACTAAACCACAGACAATTTCAGGAATTTTTGTCTGAGCTAAATGTTGACTATGAAGATGTTTTGTACCACACAGAAGTCCGTTGGCTGAGTCGAGGGAGAGTTTTGAAACGTTTCTATGACTTACTTCCACAGATTACAGCTTTTCTGCTTTCAAAAAACAAAGAAGTACCAGAGCTCAATGATGCAGAATGGAAATGGCACCTTGCCTTTCTGACAGATGTAACAGAGCTACTCAACAGTTTCAATGTGCAACTTCAAGGAAAGGGGAAGCTCATCTGTGATATGCAATCACATGTCAAAACATTTGAAGTAAAATTAGGCCTCTTCATCACACAAGTGAAGGAGGAAAACTTCTGCCATCTTCCCACAACTCATAATCTGTTAGCGGAAAAACCATTGGTTGCATTCCCAAACAAAACATGTGTGGATTCACTGGAAAAATTGCAAAAGGAGTTCCAATTTAGATTTAAAGAGCTTCATCTCCATGAACAGGACATACAGCTTTTCCGTAACCCATTTTCTATTGACATTGAAAATGTGGATACAATTTACCAAATGGAACTGGCTGAACTGCAGAATTGTGACTCTCTGAAAGACGCATTCAAGTCAAGCAGCCTTCATAATTTCTATGCATCTCTCCCCTCTGAGACATATCCTCATCTCAGGAACCATGCGCTCAAAATGGCAACCATCTTTGGCAGCACTTATGTCTGTGAACAGACTTTTTCCAGAATGAAACATTTGAAATCTCCAACCAGATCTAGACTAACGGATGCACACTTGCATCACTTGTTACGACTAGCAGTGACAAATATGGAACCGGACATTGACCATCTCATTAGCCAAAAGCAGGCCCATAGTTCCCATTGAAATACTGGCAAGTTTGTTGATTTAACTTTACTTGTTCTTCATTTTAAATATTGTATTTGTTCCCGTTTTGTTTCTTCACTTCAAAATAAGATATATGCAGTTTGCATAGGAATTTGTTCATAGTTTTTTTTAACTATAGTCCGGCCCTCCAACGGTCTAAGGGACAGTGAACTGGCCCCCTGTTTAAAAAGTTTGAGGACCCCTGGTCTAGAGTCACTCTAGACAATACGGTAACACCATTGAGAGTGAGGGGGTCTTGTAGTCTAGACAATACGGTAACGCCATTGAGATTCGGGGGTCTTATAGTCTAGACAATACGGTAACGCCATTGAGATTCGGGAGTCTTATAGTCTAGACAATACGGCAACGCCATTGAGATTCGGGGGTCTATAGTCTAGACAATACGGTGACGCCATGGGGAAGGGGCTGGGGGGTGCGTCTTATAATCCGGACAATTCGGTGACGCGGAGTCGGAACCAATCGCAGCTCCGCCACACTTCGTTCCGTCCGGATTTCACGCCGCGCAACGCACATCCGGAATCGACGTCTACCTAAATCGCGCTGCTAATCTTAATCGATTCCGCTTGCAGCACTTGTCTTCAATATGGGTGGGAGGAATCGATCAACCGGCAATCGACACACTTGGTCTCGCGGAATCGATTGACGCTTAGTCCTGCGGAGGAATCGACGAATGCCTGAATTGACCTGCCAGGGATCGATTTTTTTCCTGCTGATTCCCCTCATGCCCGGCGTTGAGCGAGGTGGTGGTGAAGATTGCGGTGGTGGTGGTCACGAATGTTGAGGCGGCCGAGAGGACTGAACCTTGTGGTGGTGGTGGTTGGTGGTGGTGGTTGGTCAACACGATCAACGTGGCGAGCGGTGAAGGTGGAGAAGATTGACGCGGGTGGTGGCGCCGCAGCCGATCTGAGGGGAGGGAAGGGTGAGCGGTGGTTGCGGGTGAAGGAGCTTCATTGACGGCAGCTCTTACACCCACACCACCCACACCACACACACACACCACACACACACACCACACACACACCACACACACACACCACCAAACACCACCCACACCACACACCCACACCACATAACACCACCACACACCACCACCCACACACCACCAAAACTACACCACACACCACTACACACCACCCACACCATCCACCCACACCACCAAAACCACTCCACACACACCACCCACACCACACACCACCACACACACACCACCACACACCACACACCACCACACACCACTACACACCATCCACCCACACCACCAAAACCACTCCACACACACCACCCACACCACACACCACCACACACACCACACACCACCACACACCACTACACACCACCCACACCCACCACACACCACCACACACCACCCACACCACACACCACCACACACCACCACACACCACACACCACCCACACCACACACCACCACACTCCACCGGCGGCAGGAGCGTACAAATGTGGCCCGCGCTGGAGCCTCTGAGCCAGCAGCAGCTGCGCCGCCTGGAGCAGCACCGCTACAGCGCCACGGGGCGCTCCGTGCTGGAGGGCGGCCTGCACCCCTGGTGGTGCTGGCTCGTGTCCCGCACCCCGCTCTGGGTGGCGCCCAACCTCATCACCGTGAGCGGCCTCGCGTGCAACGCCGCCACCACCCTGCTGCTCGCCGCCCTCTGCCCCACGGCCACCGAGGCGGTACGAGGGGGTGGTGTGGGGTGCGGGAGAGACCGACCTGCCGACCCACAGGCTGGGGCAGTGATGGGGGGGGGGGAGGTGGCACCTACTGGGGATGTCCGCCCGTGGCCGCATCCTGCCAGCGTCGGGCCTTCGACAACATTTCGCGTGGCCCGTTAACAGCCTCAAATCTCGATGTAGCCGTGGCAGTCTCTGTGAAGGCTGTACCGGGGGGGGGGGGGGGGGTGGGTTTGTCTTGCCGTGGCCTTAGCGTGCACATGGCCTGGCACAGGCGCCGTGGTGACGTCGCTGTCACTTGGTGGCGAATGGCGCTTGTTGGTATTGGTTGGTGGTTGTTGTGGTGGTTGTTCTGGTGGTTGTGATGGCTGTGCTGGTGGTGGTTGTGCTGATGGTTGTGATTGTGCTGGTGGTTGTGGTTGTGCTGGTGGTTGTGGTGGTGGTTATGGTGGTTGTTGTGGTGGTGGTTGTGGTGGTGGTTGTTGTGGTTGTGCTGGTGGTTGTGGTGGTGGTTGTGCTGGTGGTTGTGGTGGTGGTTGTTCTGGTGGTTGTGCTGGTTGTGGTTTAGCGAATCTTCTCGATTAGGGGTCGGCAACCTGCGGCTCCTCAAGCCCGCTCTCCTCGTGACATATTTTATTAGATCCCCGTCTCGTGGTCACCACCACCACCACAGTGCATTGTGCTTCTTGAAATATTGTTTTATTTTTTTATAAATTCGTAAAAAAAATGTCTCGTTATTTAGGTTGCCGTTCCCCTCTTATATATTCATATAATAGCGACAGCAGACTTACGACGTCCTGAGCAGTGTAGAAGATTGATGCGGTGATGGTGTTCACGTTGTGTCAGTGGTGGTTGTGGAAACTGAGAAGATGTGGTGGTGGTGGTATTGGTGGTGTTCAAGGTTGATAATGTAGTGGTGGTGAAGGTGGAGAAAATGGAGATGGTAGTGGTGAAGGTTCATGTGGTGGTGGTTGTGAAGGTGTCGAAGATCGAGGGGGTGGTGGTAGTGTAGGACATTGAGGTGGTGGAGATGGTGGAGGTGTCTTTGTGTTTACGCGTCTCCCCGTGTCCTTACCTCCCGTTGTTTCCCCGTATCCCCTTCTGTCTCCACTTGTGTGTCCCCGTACACCTCCCGTGTGCCTGTCCTCCCCGCGTCTCCTCCCCTTGTCCCGCGCGTCTCCCCCCACAGGCTCCCCGCTGGGTGTACTCGCTCTGCGCGCTCGGCCTCTTTATCTATCAGTCCCTGGACGCCATCGACGGGAAGCAGGCCCGACGCACTGGCTCCTCCTCGCCACTCGGCGAGCTCTTCGACCACGGCTGCGATGCCATCTCCACCGGTTATAACCCATCACCGCCGCGTGAACGTCGTCATCGTCATTATCTACCGCTGTCATCACCGTCACCACCATCATCGCCGGCAATGGCACCAGTTAGCAGCAGCGTCGTCATCATCACCACCGCCACCATCACGAGCAGTGGCACCAGTTAGCAGCAGTGTCATCATCATCATCAACATCACTGCTACCATCACCAGCAGTGGCACCAGAAGCAGCTCCGTTGTTATCATCATCATCAACAGCAGCGCCTTCACCGCATTTTATTTATGCTTTCAAATGCGCTTGTGCGGCCGTCTGGAACGCTCTTCCTTCTGATATTAAGAAGCCACTGGAGCTATGCTGCACTTTTAAATCATGGTCGAGATCAGGGGTGGGGAACATCCGGCCCGCGGGCCATATAAGGCCCGCGAAATCATTTGGTCTGGCCCTGCCAAGGCAACCACAGGCGGCACTCGAAATTCAATGAATCTAGGAGCAAACCTGGAAAAGCAGTTGCGAGTAGCAACATCATCAATACCAGCTAGCATCACACGCCTCATCAAGGAGAAGCAGTTCCAGCCATCGCGTTAGGGGTAAGTTAATTAAATGTTTGACCAAATATAACAGGATAATTTATAAGTTGATAATTTTGTATGGCCCGCGAATGATGTTATAAATATCCAAATGGCCCTTGGCAGAAAAAAGGTTCCCCACCCCTGGTCTAGATTGACAAACTAAGTTCTTTAGAACAGCTTTTTGGGTTTAGTGCTTTCTACTTCCCCCGCACCTTTGATTATCATTGTTGGCTACGTACGGTGCAAACGAAGTTCAACATGCATAATACATAGGCCAGAGAGGTACAGATGAAGTAGATTGTCCCCTCGATAATTCATACATCGACATTGCCGGCAGCCGCAGCTTCATCATCACCGTCAGCACAGAGGACACTTCAAAACCATCAACATCTACACCGATACCACGATCGCCACCGGCCACAGCCTCCATCAACATTGGCGTCATCGTCACGTGGTTGCTTTGACGAAGAATATCGAGCAAAAAAAACTTGAGGTGTGGGAGAGCAACGTACGCGTGGAATTACGTGGAGAGACGGAAGGAGGAGAACGTGGGCGAGAGAACGCGCGCTGAGTGCGGCATGTACAGGCGCTGGCCTTCATCGGCGCTCGCGGTGCCTGGGAGATGTTAACTACCTCGCCCGGTATACAGGTGGTCGTGGGTTTCGAGGGTTTAATCCCGACCCTGATGCCTGTTGTATATTTGGAGTGTCTCTAATCCATGTATTCCTCTCTCCGCCTCCCAGCGGAAAATCAAGCACGCGTCTCTCCAAGCATTCATCATCGTGGTCTATCCACTGCTGCATGAAGATCGATGTAGCGTCGCAGTGGCTAGGAGATGTTAGCTACCTCACCCGGTATTATACAGGAGGTCGTGGGCTTCATGCGTTCGATCCAGACCCTGACGCCTGCTGTATATTTGGAGTTTCTGTGTCTCTCTCATCTCTCCCCGTGGTCGCGTGGAATTTTCTCCAGGTCCTCTGGTTTTTTTCTCCCCTCATTTAGAATTGACGTCACCGCGCATTTTTGAGTTATTTGGCGGCTTTAAATCTCCACACTGTAGGCCACTTCGTCAAGCTATCATTTGTGTTGGCCACGTCGCACTTCTGAAAAAGAGCCACAGAGCAGCTTAGTGGTGCCTTACCTGGTGAAATAGATAAATAGTGGTAGTATAAACAGTTTCATGGGACCCTTTTGCTAGTATGAAAGTATGAAAAATAAGAATAGGGTTGACCCTTTCTCGCAATTAAACAGGAGGTGTTAAGATGTTCAAACACCAAATAAACACCTTTTGCAAGGAATTAACTTACTGCATTAACCACACACAGTACTCGGTGAACATGCAAACAAACATGCTCTGAGAGTGATAATATAAACACTTTGTCTGTGCAACTGATTCGCCTACACCAGAGATAACAGCGGCCTTCTTTATGGCCCAGTCCCACCACCAGTGTCAGACCAGAGAACAACACCAAAAGGCGAACAGCACAAACACAATGCACGTATCAGATCGTTTATTGCCCGGGGTGAGCAGTTATATCACGGGGTGCCTTTTTGTATCAAAGTATCAAAAATAAGAAAAGGTTTTTACCTTGCAAAAGGGTCTCTATTTGAACATGTTAACATAACTCCTGTTGTATTGCCAAAAATATTAAAAACACTCTAGATTTTAAGTTTTCGTGACTGCAGGGATCTATACTCTTTGGTTCTTTCGGTAAAGTCACGTAGGTATTAAATACATTTTATTTTATATATAAGTAAGGTTAAAACACTATTCTTCTTTTTTATTCCGTGTAAACGGTGGCGGCACTTTGCCCCCGCCAGCGCATGCGGCGTGGGCTACATGGGGTGACCTTTGTGCGCCTCTCCTGTGCGCAGTGCTCCTGGCGATGGGTGTGGTGGTGACGCTGCGACTGGGCACCGACTGTGACCTCCTCTTCCTCCTCTTCTTCCTGGGCGTCTTCATGTTCTACTGCGCCCATTGGCAAACCTACGTCACCGGCACCATGCGCTTCGGCAAGTGAGTGCCGACGCTCTCCCCCCCCCCCCCGTGCCACCCACCCCACCTCCACCCCACCCCCTCCTCCAGCGTAACTCATTGGCTCATTGGGTCGCTATGTAACTATGTGGGTCTTTCTGTAACCCTGTGGGTCTCTATGTAACTATGTGGGTCTCTATGTAACTATGTGGTTCTCTATGTAACTCTGTGGGTCTCTATGTAACTCTGTGGGTCTCTGTAACTCTGTGCGTCTCTATGTAACTTTGTGGGTCTCTGTAACTCTGTGGGTCTCTCTGTAACTCTGTGGGTCTCTATGTAATTCTCTGGGTCTCTGTAACTCTGTGGGTCTCTATGTAACTCTGTGGGTCTCTGTGTAACTCTGTGGGTCTCTCTGTAACTCTGTGGGTCTCTGGAACTCTGTGGGTCTCTGTGTAACTCTCTGGGTTTCTCTGTAACTCTGTGGGTCTCTATGTAACTCTGTGGGTCTCTCTGTAACTATGTGGGTCTCTCTAACTCTGTGGGTCTCTATGTAATTCTCTGGGTCTCTGTAACTCTGTGGGTCTCTATGTAACTCTCTGGGTCTCTCTGTAACTCTGTGTGTCTCTCTGGAACTTTGTGGGTCTTTATGTAACTCTGTGGGTCTCTGTAACTCAGTGGGTCTCTGTAACTCTGTGGGTCACTATGTAAATATGTGAGTCTCTCTGTAATTCTGTGTGTCTCTATGTAACTCTCTGGGTCTTTCTGTAACTCTGTGTGTCTCTCTGGAACTTTGTGGGTCTTTATGTAACTCTGTGGGTCTCTCTGGAACTTTGTGGGTCTCTATGTAACTCTCTGGGTCTCTATGTAACTCTGTGGGTCTCTGTAACTCTGTGGGTCTCTGTAACTCTGTGGGTCACTATGTAAATCTGTGAGTCTCTCTGTAATTCTGTGTGTCTCTATGTAACTCTGTATGTCTCTATGTAACTCTGTGTCTCTATGTAACTCTGTGGGTCTCTATGTAACTCTGTGTGTCTCTATGTAACTTTGTGCGTCTCTATCGAACTCTGTGGGTCTCTATGTAACTCTGGGTCTCTATGTAACTCTGTGGGTCTCTGTAACCCTGTGGGTCTCTATGTAAATCTGTGAGTCTCTATGTAACTCTGTGGGTCTCTATGTAACTCTCTGGGTCTCTATGTACAGTGAGGGAAAAAAGTATTTGATCCCCTGCTGATTTTGTACGTTTGCCCACTGACAAAGAAATGATCAGTCTATAATTTTAATAGTAGGTTTATTTGAACAGTGAGAGACAGAATAACAACAAAAAATTTTATAAATTGATTTGCATTTTAATGAGGGAAATAAGTATTTGACCCCTCTGCAAAACATGACTTAGTACTTGGTGGCAAAATCCTTGTTGGCAATCACAGAGGTCAGACGTTTCTTGTAGTTGGCCACCAGGTTTGCACACATCTCAGGAGGGTTTTTGTTCCACTCCTCTTTGCAGATCTTCTCCAAGTCATTAAGATTTCGAGGCTGACGTTTGGCAACTCGAACCTTCAGCTCCCTCCACAGATTTTCTATGGGATTAAGGTCTGGAGACTGGCTAGGCCACTCCAGGATCTTAATGTGCGTCTTCTTGAGCCACTCCTTTGTTGCCTTGGCCGTGTGTCTTGGGTCATTGTCATGCTGGAATACCCATTCATGACCCATTTCCAATGCCCTGGCTGAGGGAAGGAGGTTCTCACCCAAGATTTGACGGTACATGGCCCCGTCCATCGTCCCTTTGATACGGTGAAGTTGTCCTGTCCCCTTAGCAGAAAAACACCCCCAAAGCATAATGTTTCCACCACCATGTTTGACGGTGGGGATGGTGTTCTTGGGGTCATAGGCAGCATTCCTCCTCCTCCAAACACGGCGAGTTGAGTTGATGCCAAAGAGCTCCAGTTTGGTCTTATCTGACCACAACACTTTCACCCAGTTGTCCTCTGAATCATTCAGATGTTCATTGGCAAACTTCAGACGGGCATGTATATGTGCTTTCTTGAGCAGGGGGACCTTGCGGGCGCTGCAGGATTTCAGTCCTTCACGGCGTAGTGTGTTACCAACTGTTTTCTTAGTGACTATGGTCCCAGTTGCCTTGAGATCATTGACAAGATCCTCCCGTGTAGTTCTGGGATGATTCCTCACCGTTCTCATGACCATTGCAACTCCACGAGGTGATATCTTGCATGGAGCCCCAGGCCGAGGGAGATTGACAGTTCTTTTGTGTTTCTTCCATTTGCGAATAATCGCACCAACTGTTGTCACATTCTTCTTGGTTCTTTCGGTAAAGTCACGTAGAATGGAAATAATAAAATAATAAAAATAAAACATAATAAAACAATTTTCACGACGTTTCGGCCACAACACAAGCAGCCGTCCTCAGGTGAAGAACAGGTCTGTCGAGACGACAGAGTCTGAATGACACACCCCAGGCTTGGAGCGTATATTTAAGCTGGGAGGGAGGAAGAAAAGCGCCTTGACAAAAGAATTTGCATATCACGATGAATTTTAGCATATTTATGGGAAATGCAGATATGCGATTAGTACTACTTGTGAAATGCGTAGGAGGTTTGGAGAGGGGTTTAAAGTTATGTTTTGCCCGTGCATTATGCAGGATTAGCAGAATCAAAGGGAGGGGATAGGGGGAAGCATTAATAAAGGGAAGGAATGTTAATAGTATGTAGCTGCAGTAACTAAACCACCACGTAAACAACTAAAGTATAAACTACATAGTATCATCAGTATACTAAATATACTCTCCAAAAAGCTGAGCTACTAACAGTAAGTAATACATTACAATTCTATGTCGCAAAAAATATAATATGCTTCCAGCTAAACTTTATTCTCTTACATCACACGGGTCTCCTCCGTACTATATACTGCCATAGACAAACCCAACATTAAATTACATACTGTATTGCTATAAACCACCCTATCTATACCTTATACATTTTAATATAACACTATGTATTATTCTACCCACCCTAATGTGTATCACACTGCTATATATTTACTATACAATTACGATACTATATATTACTTTGTACATTGTATTAAACATTACAATATTATACTATTTATTATTATACAATCTGCTATACACTATACCATTGACCGTCGCGTGAAAGATACTAAGAGGAAGCAACGAAATATGTTAGTGGGAGATGGTGATAGGAGGCTTGCAGCGGAGCAAAGAATCCATTCCCTGCGGAGAATACAAGATATATAGTCAATGCCAATGAGTGGACTGCGGTCTGAAAGTCACCGTAAACGTGAACACACTCAGTTAAGATCCGAAATGGTTTATTACGTCCTTCCAATGATTGCTGAGCCAGAATCCATCTTCTCGGTTGAAATTGTCTCTGTGTTTGTATATGAGGATCGCCTCATGAACGATTCTCTCATGGTAGCCAGATGGCTTGCAGAGAACCTCTGTCTTGGAGAAGTCAATATCATGTGAGCCCACTCATTGTAACAGTGATCTGCCACGGCTGAGGTGTTTGTCCTACCGTGTTTCAAGTCTGCTTTATGTTCACGGATGCGGTCCGAGACATGTCGTTTGGTTTCTCCAATGTAACTGCTACCACAGAGGAAACTTGGTTTGTAGACGCCAGGGTACTGTATGTCTGGAACCACATCTTTTACAAACAGGACCAGATCACGGATTTTATGTACTTTGTTGAATCGGACCTGGATCTTGTTTTTTGTCAGGATTTTGGAGATCTTTTTTGTGACCCCAGCAATGTAGGGTAAGGTGATGGGTTTGAAAGGCTTCTCAACAGGATCCTTCTTGATGGTTGGAGTGAAGGCTTTGCGGATTGTGTAGTCGGAGTAACCATTAGCCTTAAGAGCTTGGCGTACCTGTTTGAGTTCACTGGCAATGTGTTCCTGGTCGGAGATGCATTGGGCTCTTTGGTATAGAGTCTTGATGAGGGAATTCTTCTGGGATGGATGGTGGTGGGAATCCGGTTTTAGGTAAGCATCCGTATGGGTGGCTTTCCTGTAGACAGAATGGCTCATTGAACCATCAGGTCTCCTTTTGATTAGGACATCCAAAAAGGGTGGCTTGCCATCTTTTTCGACTTCCATGGTGAATCTGATGGCTGGGTGTATGGAATTGATGTGGTCGAGGAATTGGTCTAGAGCAGGCCGGCCATGTGGCCAGATGACAAAAGTGTCGTCTACGTACCTCTTCCATAAGGTCGGGCGTAGAGTGGCAGTCTGAATGGCGTCAGTCTCAAATTTCTCCATGAAAACGTTGGCTACAACTGGAGATAGGGGGGTGCCCATTGGGGTGCCCTCAGTTTGTTTGTAGAAAGTTCCATTCCAGGTGAAGTATGTATTGGTTAAGCAGTGTCTCACCAGGGGGGTACCCCAGTATTCAGTCCTTGATGAACCAAGTCTTCAATTATTGCGATGGTGTCAGGTACAGGAACTTTGGTAAATAAGGAAACCACATCAAAACTGACAAGCAGGTCGTCTGGGGACAGGGAAATCCCCTTGATTGTCGATACCAGTTCAGTAGAGTTTAGTACCGCAGAGGTGGTTTTTCCAGTGAAAGGCCGCAGGATTTCAGACAAAAAACAAGCGAGTTTGTATGTGGGGGATTTGATTGTAGAGACAATGGGACGAAGAGGTGTATCTTCTTTATGTATCTTTGGCAAGCCATATAATCTTGGTGGCCTGGCTGCAGAAGGTTTAAACGAGAACTGTTTGGTTTGATCTATTAATGCGATTGAATCAGAAATTATTTTTTTGGTTTTAATGACGAGGCTGTTGGTGGGGTCTCTTTTTATTTTTGTATAGCTACCATCGTTGAGTAGATGGTCTTGTAGCCCATTCCAGCCTTGTGCAGGTCTACAATCTTGTCCCTGACATGCTTGGAGAGCTCTTTGGTCTTGGCCATGGTGGGGAGTTTGGAATCTGATTTATTGATTGCTTCTGTGAACAGGTGTCTTTTATAGAGGTGACGAGCTGAGATTAGGAGCACACTCTTAAAGGAAGTGCTCCTAATCTCAGCTCGTTACCTGTATAAAAGACACCTGGGAGCCAGAAATTTTTTTGATTGAGAGGGGGTCAAATACTTATTTCCCTCATAAAAATGCAAATCAATTTATAACATTTTTGACATGCATTTTTCTGGATTTTGTTGTTGTTATTCTGTCTCTTACTGTTCAAATAAACCTACCATTAAAATTATAGACTGATCATTTCTTTGTCAGTGGGCAAACGTACAAAATCAGCAGGGGATCAAATACTTTTTTCCCTCACTGTAACTCTGTGGGTCTCTATGTAAATATGTTGGTCTCTATTGAACTCTGTAAGTCTCTATGTAACTCTGTGGGTCTCTACGTAACTTTGTGGGTCTCTACGTGACTCTGTGGGTCTCTATGCAACTCTGTGAGTCTCTATGTAACTCTGTGGGTCTCTACATGACTCTGTGGGTCTCTATGCAACTCTGTGAGTCTCTATGTAACTCTGTGAGTCTAACTCTGTGTCTCTCTTTGGCTTCCCTCCTCTGCGGCCGCAGCCGTGAAATTTTTTTAAATCTTAAACATGATTTAAAGTTGAGATAATTAATTAGATATGGTAGGGAACGGCGGGGGGGGGGGGTCACACTACGGAATGTCTTTGGGTGACATCTTTCTTTTGAGCCTCGTCTCAACCGGTGTTAAACCAGATGACGCCAAAAAGCGTACAGCAGAAAGACAACGCACTATCAGATTAATGAGTGCTCGGGGAGAGCTTCTAGTCTGGTGTGGACCAATACGTTTCAAAGACAATGCATGTATTATCAGTGTGTTTTTGTTTGCATTTTGTATTGTGGTTAATGCAGACATGATTCCTTGTAAAAGGTTTCAGTTTGGTGTTTTAACAAATTAACACCTGTTTTGTTAGCCAGATAAAAGGTGAAAAAACCTCTTCTCATATACACAACACCTAAAATATAATGCCATGCAAGAAAGTGCAAAAAGAAGCTATTTTAAAGAATGATGATTTAGTGATTATCCGGCGTTTTAAAAAATCTGGCACCTCCTTCCCCCCGAAGCCACCGGATAATCGACAATCGACTGTCTCTCTGCGGACTGGAGTTAGGATTTGACTGCAGGAGGCTATTTAATGCTGAGTTCTGGCTTCAGTAAGCCTACGGCTATATGATGTTAACTACCTCGCCTGGTGTACAGGAGGTCGTGGGTTCGATCCCGACCCTGACGCCAGCTGTATATTTGGAGTTTGCGTGTGTTTCTCTCCCCGTGGTCATGTCGATTTTTCTCCAGGCCCATCCGATTTTTCACTCCAAATTTAGAAACGTGTGTTCATTATTTTTGGCTGTTGCAAATTTACACGTGACGATGATGATGATGAGCCCACTTTATTGAGCTGCTCACATTTGTGATAGCCAGGGTCGCTTCTGAATAAATAATATTTAAAAATACTTTTTTTTAACACGCTTTATTGAAATGTACCCTACTCGTAATGGCAGAACTCCACGATTCCAGGAAGTGGCCGCAAAGCTTGCCATAACGTAAGGGACCGAGGTCATTTACAGCCAATGTCAGTTAAGCGTGGACAATTAGACCCAAGCCGAAACATAACATGTAAAAATGAATGTTTAAAATATTTTTTACATTTTATTTGATAGAATATTGTATGATCATCAGTATGACATAAGTATACCAAGTTCGCAGTCGATACCACATTGGGAAGTGGGTTAAAATTGAGTTACAAGATTTGAGGATACGACAACAACGACAACAACAACAGACAGTGAGTTAAATAAAAGCGTGTAGAAAAAGAGCTACACCGCTCAGTAGGGCCTTACACCTAGTAAAATAAAAAATAGTTTTTAGCTTAATTTAGTTTAGTGTGCAGCTCTGCACACTGAACTGGTGAGATACACAAATGCAAACAACAACAATAGAAACCCACAGGAGACCCATAGAGACCCATAGAGACCCATGCTCATATGCTTGTAGCCAACTATGCCCATTGGAGGTGCGGAAGGAAGGACGACAAACTAAACGAATACAGCAGTTCTGTAATGCGAGCGTAAACGGCCTCGCGGATGTGACGTAACAGGTGGGAGGAGTTAGGGTCACGTGGGGAGAGGGAGAGCTTTTAAGGGCAGGAACTGGAAGGGCTGGGGGAGAGTGTGGGAGTAAAGACAGGAGGAGGCCACGCAGGGCAGGAGGTGGAAAAGTGGCGTGATCGTCACAGGCTGGGACTCGGCACCGTTGGCCAGCGGTGTCCGGGCACAGAGGAGACCAAGGGAGCCAGCAGCGGGGCTGCATAGAGAGCAGCCGTGGGGCTGCAGGTGGGAGGCGGAGAGGCTGAGGAGAAGCCAGCAGCGGGGCTGCATTGTGAGCCAGCAGCAGGGCTGCAGCAGCGGAGGCAGCAGTGGGGCTGCCGAGCGGGAGACAGAGGAGATTGGAGATTCTGAGCGAGACGCCGTGCGGGCAAAGTTGTAAGAACCACAATAAAGGACAACGGAGACAGACCCAGTGCAAGAGTCCTTTATTACAGTTCTAAAGAAATAAGTTCTCAATGTAGTAGAGTGGCGTAGTGTATTGTAGTGTAGTGTATAGTGTAGCAGTGCAATGTATAGTAATGTGTAGTAGTGTGGTGTGTAGCAGTGTAAAGTGTAGCAGTGTATAGTGCAGTGTATAGTAGTTTGTACGTTGAACTTCTTTCGCACCGTACGTAGCCAACTGCACTAATGGGAGGTGCGGCGGGGGGTGGGGGGTAAAGGAAACAAACTAAACACAACAACAAGAAGCAGTTTACTTGTGCAGACTGGGGTTAGGGTTTAGAATTTGACTGCCGGAAGACTGCGAGTCTGGTCCTGAATGCTGACTTTCTGGCTTCAGGATGCGTGTGGGGGTTGTTGTTGTTACATCCGTGTGTGCGCATGCAGGATCGATGTGACGGAGGTGCAGCTCGTCATTGTGGGCATCTTCCTCCTGGCGGCCGCTTGTGGGCCTGACGTGTGGGACCACCGTGTACGGCGCTCGTCCTAGTCGCTCGCTCCCTCACCCAATCGCTCGCTCGCTCACCCAGTCGCTCGTTCACCCAGTCTTCTGTTCACTCACCCAGTCACTCGCTCACTCACCCAGTCACTTGCTCACTCACCCAGTCACTCACAGTCACTCGCTCACCCAGTCTTCTGTTCACTCACCCAGTCACTTGCTCACTCACCCAGTCACTCACACAGTCACTCGCTCACCCAGTCTTCTGTTCACTCACCCAGTCGCTCGCTCACTCACCCAGTCACTTGCTCACTCACCCAGTCACTCACACAGTCACTCGCTCACCCAGTCTTCTGCTCACTCACCCAGTCGCTCGCTCACTCACCCAGTCACTTGCTCACTCGCCCAGTGGTTCGCTCGCTCGCCCAGTCTCTCACGCGCTCAGCCAATCACTCGCTTACTCGCACAGTCACTCTCTCACTCGGTCACTCACACAGTCACTCGCGCACACAGTTGCTCGCTCACAGTCACTCGCTCACTCACTCAGTCGCTTGCTTACTCTCCCAGTCTCCCGCTCACTCTCCCAGTCGCCCACTCACTCACCCAGTCGCTCGCTTACTCGCCCAGTTGCTCGCTCACTCACAAAGTCGCTCGCTCCCCTCATGTGGCGAGCTGGCCTTCTTCGTCAGTCATGAACGGCACTTGCCCCAACGGTCTGGTGAAGGTTATACGGGGTATCTTTGTCTTTATATGCACGTATGCGTGTGTGCACGTGCATGTTTGTGCGTGCGTGCATGTGTGTGTGTGCGTGCGTGCGTGCACGTGCTTGTGTGTGCGTGCGTGCATGTGTATGCGTGCGTGTGTGTGCGTGCATGCATGTGTGTGCGTGTGTAGGTGCCCGTGCTGGACATGCGTCTCAAGCTGGTGCCTGTGCTGCTCGAGGTGCTCGCCTCTGTCTTCACTTGCGTCACCAACTTCCGCATTATCTTCACCGGCGGCGTCGGCAAGAACGGCTCCACCATCGCGGTGAGCCGTCGCACACGCACACAGATGCAGGTTCTCGCACACACACACAGACAGACACACATGCGCACAGACAGGTGCCCACACGCACACACAGATATGTACGCAGACACAGGTACTCAAGGTACTCTCACACACAGACACAACAACAACAAGAACCGCCATTCGCCACTAAGTGGCGGTGACGTCACCACGACACTTGTGCCAGGCTATGTGCACCTTGAGGCTACGTGAAGTGTCGAACGCCCACTGGCAGGAGGTCACAGGGCAGACCCAGGTGCCACGGGTCGACTGACTGAGACGACTGGCTGATGTACCACCTATGCCCCCTACTATGCCAACTTGCTGTGCTTTAGCCACCCGGCACTCCGCTCGTTGTTGTGAGCGTCGCTCCTCCGCCCTCTGTTGTTGTTGGAGGCTGACTGCTTCCAACTGCCCAGTAGCGTCCTTCACAAGCCTCCTCCACAGAGGCCGATCTTGAGACCGCTGGTACCGGTCATCGGCAAGTCCACTCAGCTCGACGTGCTCCTGTACCACATCACTCCATCTCTTCTCTAGCCCATGCCGCTCCCGTTTAGCCCCCTCGATCTGGCCAAACAAAAGCTGTTTCGGCATGCGGTGGCTGGGCATGCGGGCTACATGACCCAGCCAACGTAGCCTTGCCTTTTGGAGGAGCTCACCGATGGGACTTTGTCCAGATCTTTCAAGGATGTGTGAGCTCCTCACACAATCCAGCCTGCTGGTTAAACCCACCATGGATTGTAGGCAGGCCAGCCTAAATGTTTCTAACCGGCGAAGATATTCCATTAGAGGTGCCCACGTTTTGCAAGTGTAGTGACATAAGAGGGGAGGGACTGCTGGGGGCTCTGGGACCCTAGGCAGATAAGCCGTCGGCGCCAGGCGCTAGGATCCCAGGCAACCCAGACGCTTAAGCCCCTTGGCGCCACCAACGGGGGGGGCTGTGTGTGCTCTGTGGGATATCTGGGGGCGCACACAACCCCACCCCTCGTTGGGGACGAGGCATAAAAGGGCAGCTCCCTGGCCGATCAGGGCCAGTTGTAGCTCAAGACCCAAGACCCAAGACCAGCCATCTCAGGACCCTGGGACGCTGTGAGGGCCAGTGGTGGGACTCTGGAACTCCCGGCTCTACGTCCTTGTGAGGGCGAGTTCCGAGGAAGCCAGAGTAGTGTATCTAGGCTGTGTACCTAGGCTGTGTACCTAGGCTGTAACAGAGTATCAGGACTGTTGGAGTGTTGGATTGTAATAAGAAAGTTACCTCTGGAAGTGTCTCCGGAACCCATTACACAAGCGTAGAGAAGGGAGGGAATGACCGTGACCGAGAAGACCTGAAGCTTTGTGCGGAATCATAGACCAGGTAGCTTCCACACAGCGTTACGCAACCGATGACAAGATAATGCCGCTCGACTGATTCGGAGTGAGACCTCTGCTGTTAAACCGGAGCTGGTCATGAGCACACTGCCAAGGTATGGGAAACTCTCCACTCTCTCCACAACTACCCTATCACCAATTGGGAGTTGTGGGGGTGGAGTGTCCGATGGTACAAAATACCCAGGCAGATACTTAGTTTTGGTGGGGCTGATGGTAAGGCCCCGCCTCTTGGTGGCAAGCTCCAGGTTCAGCAGCAGCGCCTCCAACTCCTCCTCTGAATGAGCAGCAATTACCAGATCATCGGCATACATAACGTGGTTGAGCAATAGGGAGCCATCCCTTGACCGCATCCGGGCATCGATCAGCCTCCCATTGTATCTGTACCAAATGGAAATTCCTCCGGTACAGATATTGAAGGCTTCACGAACTACGTGGTCAAAATAGATGTTATATAATGTGGGAGCCAGAGGACATCCTTGTCGCACCCCAAGGTGTACAGGGAATGGCTCTGACTCCCGGCCACGTAGTTTTACCCGGGCCCGCTCACCATCATGAAGGTCCTTAATGATCGTGAGCAGAGGGTCAGGGACTCCGATAGCACGAAGAACAACCCAGAGCTCAGGCCTACTGATGGTATCATAGACCTTGACCAGGTCAATAAAGCAGAGATGTAGGTCTTGTTGGAATTCCCTACACCTGTGCTGTAGCAAGCGGACAGAAAATATGGCATCTGTGCATGACCGACCTTTTCTGAAACCGCATTGGGGCTGCGCAAGCCTCTCCTCAGCGTGCCTAGCAAGGCGATGTTGAATTATTCTTGCCAGAACCTTTCCCGGCACACTGAGGAGTGAGATGCCCCTGTAGTTGTTACAGTCTTTACAGTCCCCCTTCTTAAAGAGAGGGACCACCAGGGCATCCTGCGGAACCCGTCCAGTGGTCCAGACTGTTGTTATGATCTCATGTAGGGCAGTCTGTCCACAAACGCCACCCTCCCTCAGCATTTCGCTTGGGAGATCATCTTTGCCCGGTGCCTTTCCTGGTCTCAGACTCTGGATTTCCCTCAGTACTTCCTCAACAGATTGCACCTCAGCCAGCCACTCACAGGGGGTGACTTCCTCCAATGTTTGAGGCACCGCAGCCTCAGCAGAGTCATCCCCACTTTGTGCCACGTTGTTTTCCTGGCTGAGCGATTTCCCCTCCCCCATGACCTCACAGAAATGCTCAGCAAATCTGCAAATTTGTTCCCGGGGGTCGGAGATTGGATCACCGTTCTTTCCCCTAATGATGGTAATAGGTGTGGTGCTGCAGGTTACTTTTTTGATGGAATTAAAGAGCGATTTGTGATCGCGGGCCACTGAGGCAGACTCCATCTACTCAGCAACCCGCGACCACCACCCATCCTTGTAGCCCCTCACCGCTTTCCGAACCTCCGAGCGAAGGCTGCCATAACCCTCCTCATTCTCCGACGTGGGATGCTGTAGCCGATGAGAGTGGGCCTGTTGCTTTTTCTCAGCTAGCTTGAACACCTCCTCTGTCAGCCAGGGTCTCTGGGGAGGTCTGGACCGCGTACCCAAAGCAGCCATTGCAGCTGCATGAGTCACAGTCCTAAACCTCGCCATTTCCCCTTGACATCAGGAAGAGTGGCGGACGATGCCAACCCCAGCCACAAGTGATGATGAAATTCTCGCTTGCAACTTTTATCAGCTAGCTGAGACCATCCCACTATGGGTTTGAAAGGGGTCCTGGGTGTACACCCACCACCGGAGTGGAAGAATGGCAGGGGCATCTTACAGATGACAAGTCGATGGTCAGTGGGCAGATCAGCTCCACGGTGGGTCCTGGTGTTAAGGACATTGGCCCGCATCCGCTGTTTCGTCACTATGTAGTCCAGCAGATGTTCTTGCATGGACCCGGCATGCATCCATGATGTTGTGTGGATGCGCCGATGCCGGAACAGCGTGTTGGTAATTACAAGCCCATGGGCTGCACAAAAATCTAACAGCCTCCTGCCGTTGTTATTGAATTGATCTGGCACATGCCTTTCAATCACTCCAGACCAGCTGCCAGCATCATGACCAACTTGGGAATTGAAGTCGCCCAACAAGATGACTCTATCCCGAGGGGCCACTTTAGCTAGCACCGTTGACAGGAGGTCATAGAAGGCATCTGACTCATCGTCCTTGCCTGCATCCCTCCACGGATGTTCGTCTTCGGTGGAGGCATAAGTAACCATGACCACCACTCCTCGCCTCTGGTTGATGGGAAGGCGAGCCCAAAGTAGCCTGGGGCTTACAGCTTCCCACACCTCACCGCCACGCTCCCACGCCCCCTTCATTCTTTTGTTCAAAAGAAGAGCCACTCCGTGTTGTTTGGCAGTCTCCTGCCCTGAGTAGAGGACTGTCCGCCCTTCATGGTCGACCGGACCTCCTGAATATCACAGAGATCCAGGCGGTACTGGTCCAGCTCCTGACAGAGAAGTGGCAGCCTCTCCTCTGCAGTGAGCATTCGAGCATTGCACGTGGCCACCCGTAGTGTTTTTTTGTTGTTTCTGGAGGAGCCCTGAAGGTAAGGATTCAGTCTCCTGGCTCTGCCAAATGGGGTTTGGCCAGGAGACGTCATAGACGCCTGTCCCCCCCGGGGCCTCTGGCACAAGCTTAATTAAATTTTTAAATCGTAGTTTGGTGGTAATTAACTGAAGGTTGGAGGGGTTACCAGCTCCTCGCCCCCATCCAGAGCCTCCATTTCACCGCTGTGGTGGTAACAAACGCCATGAGGGGAATGGCCAATCTACATTGGCCCTCTCTCCACGGCACTGCCCACCACAGCGTTGTGGTCCACACACAGACATTTATATAGACACAGGTACTCAATCACACAACAATGATCCCCCGTGTAGCCTTAACAGACTGTTGGGGCAAGTGCTGTTAGCGAGCACCTGTGAATGCCGGCACGGCACACGAGGGGGTGGGTGGCCAGCAACACGCGATGTTTACACACCACACCAGGTACTCATTTGAGGCTGAGTCGACCTAGGGGAGGCCCAGGACCGGTTCAGATAATCGTCACAGTTGTTGGCCATTAGCGGGAATCGAACTCGAGTTGCTTGGTTTGTAGCGCAGCGCGCTAACCGCTACACTACCGCTCCCCACACACACACTCAAACAGACGCACACCCGCACAGACAGATGCCCACACACACAGACGTACCCAGACACAGGTACTCGCGCACACACACACGCAGACAGACGTACACACACACAGACGTACACAGACACAGGTACTCACACACACACACACACGCAGACAGACGTACACACACACAGACGTACACAGACACAGGTACTCACACACGCAGACAGATGCACACACACACAGACAGGTGCCCACACACGCACACAGACACAGGTACTCGCACAAAAAACAAAGATCCCTTGTCTAGCCTTAACAGACTGTTGGGGCAAGTTCTGTTAGCCAGTACCTATTACCAGGTACTCATTTGATGCTGAGCCGACCTAGAAGTGGCCCAGGACCGGTTAAGATTAATCGTCACTGATGTTGGTGGCCGTGAGCGGGAATCAAACTCGGGTCGCTGGGATCGTAGTGCAGCGGCGCTAACCACTGCGCCACCGCTCCCCAAACACACGCACGCGCAAACAGACGCACGCGCACAGACAGGTGCCCATACACGCACACAGACGTCGGGGGAGGAGACAAAGGTAGCCGGGCGCGCTGTCAGCCTCCAACCCCCCCGTGCACCACACCATTCTTAATTGATGCTGCTCGCTTAACAGAACGTGCTCCCAGCAGTCTGTCGAAGGCTATACACGGTGGGGGGGATCTTTTGTCTTTGTGTGTTTTGCCGCCCAGGGCACCAGTGTGATCTCGCCCGCGTTCCATATCGGCACCGTGGTCGTGCTGGCCGCCATGATCGCCAAGAAGTCTCCGTCGAGTCTTTTTGAGCGGAACCCGTGCCTCTACATCCTCACGTTCGGCTGCGTGGCCGCCAAGATCACCAACAAGCTCGTGGTACGTACGTGTGTATGTGTGTGTTGAACTTATTTCGCACCATATGTAGCCAACCATGCTAATCTGTGGGGCTCTGTGGGTTTCTATGGGTCTGGATGTCTGTGGGTCTCTATGTTGAACTTCCTTCCCACAGTACGTAGCCAACTGCTAATCTGTGGGTCTCTGTGGGTATGGATACCGACGTGTTAAACTCTATGTATGTTGTTCGGCAAAACAACCCCTTATCTCCTTGACTGTTCCGGATGGTAACGCTCGCTGCAGAGGAGAGGCTGCCACTCCTCTGTCGGGAGCTGGACCGGTATCGCCTGGATCTCTGCGGTATTCAGGAGGTCCAGTGGAATGGCTCTGGTTCCTGCTACCATGAGGGATGGACAATCCTCCACTCGAGCCAGGAGACTGCTTAACAACCAGGATTGGCTCTTCTGAACAAAAGAATGAAGGGGCGTGGGAGCGTGGCGGTGAGGTGTACGAAGCTGTAAGCCCCAGGCTACTGTGGGCTCGCCTCTCCACTAACGGGAGGCGAGGAATGGTGGTGGTTGTTCATGCCCCCACCGAAGATGAATATCAGTGGAGGGATGCAAGAAAGGCCGATGAGTCAGATACTTTCTATGACTTCCTGTCGAAGGTGCGAGCTAAAGTGACCCCACGGGATAGAGTCATCCTGTCGGGCGACTTTTCTGCCCGAGTTGGTCATGACGCTGGCACCTGGGCTGGAGTGATCGGAAGGCATGGGTCAGATCAACTCAATAATAACGCCACTGGGGAGACAAAGGCGGCCGGGTGGGGTGCTAGCCACCCACCCGCACGTGTGCCGTTCTTGCCTTCATGGGTGCGACTCGCTAACAGCACTTGTCCCAACAGTCTGTTAAGGCTACACGGGGGATCTTTGTCTTTTGCTCCACATGGCAGGTGGCTCACATGACACGCAGTGAGATGTTCTTGCAAGACACGGCGTTCCTGGGGCCAGGCCTCCTCTTCCTGAACCAGTACTGCAACTGCTTTGTCGATGAGTTTACGGTACTCTTGATTGCACTGGTAAGTGACTCGGGTTTGTTTAGTTCTAGGGTCGTTGTTATGGACATGGATGGGGGGTCTGGCAAACGAAAACAACGAGAGGAGCCTAGTACTTTGCAAATTTGTAAAAAACCTCAATGTTTCGACAACCGTAATGTAACGTGAGATGGAGCTTTAAAAAAATAACGCCACGAAAGCAACCACCACCACAATCACCACCAAAGATACAGATCCCCATATAGCCTGTAACAGACTATCGGGGCAAGTGCGGTTAGCGAGCACTTATGAAGGCCGGCACGGCACACGAGAGGGTGGGTGGCCAGCACCACACCCGGCCGCCTTTGTCTCCCCAGTGGTAGCGATGTTTACACGCCGCGCGAGGTACTCATTCGAGGCTGAGTCGACCTCTGGAGGCTCAGGACCGGTTCTAATTTTCGTTCCTAGTGTTGACCGTCAACGGGAATTGAACTCGGGCCTCCGGGTTCGTAGCACAGCACAATAACCACTACACTACCGCTCCACCCTACAATCACCACGACAACCACAACCATCACAACAACCCACCCCACACCCATCCTGACCCCTTTTTCCTCCCTTCAAGGGGCCTCCTCAGCCTGCTATGCATTTCCATACAATGCAAATCCACTCCGTTGAGCTATTATTTGTGATAGTCAGTAGGTCGCTTCTGAAAAATAAGCTAATAACTCAGTGGGCTTCATCTGGTAAAGTAGAAAAGTTTCGTTTTATTTTAAGTGATTTGTTTAACTTTCATGTACTTTGCACTCCTATCATGTTTTTGTTGTTGTGTTTGTTGTTGTGATGTTCTGACCCCTCGCCCCTACTGAACATCTGTGACAAAAGAGCTTTAGGGCTCATCGGATTCCTCCTCCAGCAGCATTAATGAAGATTCTGTTTCTGTTTTTCTTTCAGGTGTTGTCCATGAGTGACCTGCTGTTCTACTGTGTTGCTGTTTGCCATCAGATTTCCACGCACCTTCGCATCCACGTGTTCAAGATCGCACCCCCCGTCGCACACACCTCCACTAATCAGCACACACACCTCCACTAACCACCACTCACACTGACGTCACCACTCACACCTCCACTAACCACCACTCACACTGACGTCACCACTCACACCTCCTCTCACCACCTCTCACACTGACGTCACCACTCACCTCCACTAACCACCTCTCACACTGATGTCATCACTCACACCTCCACTAACCACCACTCACACTGACGTCACCACACACACCTCCACTAACCACCACACACACTGACATCACCACTTACACGTCCACTAACCACCATTTACAACTCCACCATCCACCACTCACACCTCCACGAACCACCACTCACACTGACGTCACCACTCACACCGCCACTAACCACCACTCACACCTCCACTAACCACCACTCACACTGACGTCACCACTCACACCGCCACTAACCACCACTCACACCTCCACTCACCACCTCACACACTGACATCACAACTCATACCTCCACTAACCACCACTCACACCTCCACTCACCACCACACACACTGACATCACCACTCATACCTCCACTAACCACCACACACACTGACGTCACCACTCACACCTCCTCTCACCACCTCTCACACCTCCACGAACCACCACTCACACTGACGTCACCACTCAACTCCACCATCCACCACTGACACCTCCACTAACCACCACTCACAACCACACACACTGACGTCACCACTCACACCTCCACCAACCACCACTCAACTCCACCATCCACCACTGACACCTCCACTAACCACCACTCACACCTCCACTAACAACCTCTCACACCTCCACTCACCACCACACACACTAACGTCACCACTCACACCTCCACTAACCACCACTCACACGGACGTCACCACTCAACTCCACCATCCACCACTGACACCTCCACTAACCACCACTCACACCTCCACTAACCACCACTCACACTGACGTCACCACTCAACTCCACCATCCAACACTCAAACCTCTACCAACCACCACTCACATCTCCACTAACCACCACTCACACCCGCAGCGTCGCTCACACTTGCAGCATCATTCACGATCGCCTACATCGTCAGTACACCCATCACCCACACAGAGGTCAGACTGGGACCGAGTCTCAAGCCACTGATCTTTGAAACCCGGTTTCCAGGATCCAAGTCTCAAAACTGATCCTGACATCCAGTCTTCTGGATCTAAGTCTGAAGACTCTGATCCTGAAACCCGGTCTCCTGGATCCAAGTCTCAAGAGCCTGATCCTGAAACCCGGTCTCCTGGGGCTGATCTCAATCTAAACGATGGTCTCCCTTTGAGCCGAGTTTCAAAGACATTGATTCCGAAAAACGCAGTTCCACTGTTGTCCTGAGTGAGTGTCAAATCCAATCCTGGAAACCCGCTCCCGAGATGTCCATTCCGAGTTGCCGGTTTCCTGCAATGTTTACGTTTCAAAAATGTGACACAACAAAAAGAATCGTGGCATTTAAGCTCCCTAGCGCCTGTTCTAAATCAAGCCCACACGCTTTGGTTGTTCTGAATGTATTTTTTTTTCTTTAATTCATGTGAGTCCTCATATTCGTTCCATGCCCGTGCTTGAACTGGACTCTTGCTTTAACAAGGGCACCGCTGTTATTTTTTATTGGGGGTGGCCTTGCTGTGCACGGTGTTTGTGCGGCTGAGGGCGATGGGATGGGGCAGGGTGGGTAGGGGAGTAAAGCTTCTAAACTTTTCCTAAACTCGCCAATAAAACTCAACCATTGGTGTGGCCTTAATCTCAGCCCTTCGCAGATAGATCATACAGCTATCTCGGCGGCGGTCATGGCTTGTAGTCTTTTTAATCGTGCGGCGGTGGTTTCCAGGTGGCCTTCATCCGCAGTAGATAAGGGGACTTGCACAAAAGGAGGGGGTGCCACGGAGCGAGCGGGCAGATGGGCACCCCCGTTGGCTCGCATTGCCCGGGCGCAGAATTCTTGGTTCCGGCTTGTGCGGGGTAGGGTGGGACCTCGTGTGTTCGATTTGCCCCCGGGGGCAAGGGGGCGCGCGGATGTGGACAAACAAAAGGTCGGATGAGTGAACATCCGTCAATTTTAAGCTCGTCACGCGTCGCACAGTTATTCGCTCAGTCGAAGGGGGAGAGGAGGCAGGGAGAGCGAGCGATTCGGAAGGCGTGATGAGGAGCCACGGGGCGAAGCTGGCAGGCAACCACGCGATTTTTCCACCTCCACCAACTTAACTTAATTACATAAATAAAGCGCTTTAATCAAAGCACTGTGCAGTGATTTAACAAATTGCCCCATGCGCTGCGATCCTCCACATATCAAGGTGTTGTCGGCCAATCAGTGTTTACATGTGGGTGGAAACCCGGAAGCCCCCGATGTGCATGCGAGGGGGAAACGTATCCCAGACGGACTGAACCGCGGTTTGAGTCCACACTGTTGTTGTTGTGCCGCCTATTTCCTGGCGAGCCTAGAGTATTGCAACCTCCCTCAACGCCCTCGAACGGGGAGGGAGTTTGTTCGTTGAACTTTTTTCGCACCCTACGTAGCCAATCGTGCTAACCGGAGGTGCGGGAGAAGACAAACTAAACACAAGGCAGTTCTAAAGAAATGAGTTTGTCGATCTAGACGATTTAAATAAAAGTGCACAGCTCCCAGTGGCTTCCTTAATGTCGGAAGGGAAGAGCGTTCCAGACGGCCGCCGAAGCAGCGCACCTGAAAGCGCCATGCGACGCGGCGACCGTCTTTAAGCATCCCGTCGCTACCTCCACAGTGCCGGATCACGGAGTGCGCGCGTAGCCACCGGCGCCACCACCCCCTCCCCCCCCACCGCAGTCTGGCAGAAGGGGACGGTCGTGGGGTGCGGGCGCAAAATGGGTTACTGCACAAACGGAAATAAAGCGCACCACGCTGATCTCACCAATCGTGGGCGAAATGTTTTGGCCGTGCTCGAGAGATTGAGAAACACGTTCCTGCCGTCTGGGAGGTTCCACTTCGTGTGAGCGTCTGCTGCGTCGAAAGCGATCGGGGTTTGTGATGTTTAAAACGCCTGGTGGGGGGGGGGGGGAGATGAAGAAAATCCCCAAAGAATCGCTCGGGCCCCAAACCTCTGGTGCCCGCCGGTCGAGAAAGTTTTCTCCAAATCTAGGTGCTGTGGGTTGGCCGGCTACTGTGACCGGCGGATGCACCCGGCTGTGCGCAGCCCCGCTGATGCCAACTTGCTGCGTTTTATCCCCCTGGTGCTCCGCTCGTTGTTGTGAGAACAAAGACAAAAATCCCGCGTGTAGCCTTAACAGACTTGTGGCAAGTGCTGTTAGCGAGCACCTGTGAAGGCTGGCACGGCACACGAGGGGGTGGTTGGCCAGCACCACGCCCGGCCGCCTTTGTCTCCCCAGTGGTGATGTTTACACACCTCAACAGGTACTCATTTGGGGCAAGTGCTGTTAGTAAGCATAGTGTGGAGAATGCGCCACAGTGTGCGCAGATATTTTACTGGGCGCACGGGCGGATGCGTCGCGTTGAAATGTGCTATTTCGTACTGCATCTCATAGCCAATTACTTTGCTTGTTTACCCATGTGTAATAGTTCAATAGAGGCGCACACACTCGTATAGAGGCAACACTTTATTAACACAACTGTGAACTAAATACACGTAAAATGGTGACCACCGACCTAACCTCGCGAACACTCGACACTCGGGTAACAACTGGCGTGGCCAAGCCAGGAGGGCTACTGTTTGGCCACGATGACTTGAGGCTTCTCTTCACTTCTTCATGAGGCGTCTTCATCCCGGACCTGAGCAGCCCCGGACCAGGTTCGGGGCCCCCTTATATGTGCCACACCGTGGCCAGGCCACACCCAGGCCACGCCCACCTTCTCGAACCCTCGAGAAGGCTCTGCCCCTGGCCACTTGACCCCCAAGGTCCCCCTGGGGCCCCCGGCGTGATCCGGTCACGTGTCCGGCCGGGTTCACACAGAGTGCCACGGCCTGACACAACCCCCGTGGCACTGACCGACAGCCTCCACACTCCCCGACCCGGCCGTGACGTCATTCATACATACCCAACGTAGTGACGTCATGTGTGTGTACAGACTCAACACAGTAGTGACATCATAAGTCACTACACATGTAAGCCTTATATGGGATATCTACATTTCCCTATGTAACTTTATGGATATCTCTATTTTCCCCATTGCAACCCTATGGGATACCCATTTCCCCCATTTAAAACTATGGGATGTCCATTTTCCCATGTAACCATATGGGATATCTATTTCACCCATGTAACCCTATAGGAAATCCATACCCCCCATGTAACTCTATGGAATATCTCTATTTCCCCCATGCAACCCTATGGGATACCCATTTCCCCTATTTAAAACTATGGGATATCCATTTCCCCCATGTAACCCTATCGGATATCCCCATTTCCCCCATTTAACCTTATGGTATATCCACATGTCCCCCATGTAACCCTATGGGATATCCCCATTTAACCCTAAGGGATATATGTATATCTCGACGACGAGATCGGAGACGGAGCTGAAGCTGTGCTGAGCTGTGGCCGCTGCCCCTCTGTTCATCTGCTTCTTGTCGCAAGTGTTTATGCTTTTCATTTCTTTCGAGTTGCATCTTGTTGTTGTGTTCAGTGAGTTGTCCTCACGCCTACCCCCACCCAGCGCACCTCCGATGAGCACGGCTGGGCCACGTACGGTGGCTTGAAAGAAGTTGAACTTGATGGTGGTGGTGATGGTAGTGGTGATGGTGGTGGTGATGATGGTAATGATGGTGGTGGTGATGGTGGTGATGGTGGTGATGATGGTGGTGATGGTGGTGGTGATGGTGGTGGTGGTGGTGATGATGATGATGATGGTGGTGGTGATGGTGGTGGTGATGGTGGTGATGGTGGTGGTGATGGTGGTGGTGATGATGATGGTGGTGATGATGGTAATGACGATGATGGTGCTGATAGTGGTGGTGGTGATGGTGGTGGTGGTGATGGTGGTGGTGATGGTGGTGGTGATGATGATGGTGGTGATGATGGTGGTGATGATGGTGGTGGTGATGGTGGTGGTGATGGTGGTGGTGGTGATGGTGGTGGTGATGATGATGGTGGTGATGGTGGTGGTGATGGTGGTGATGGTGGTGGTGATGGTGGTGATGATGATGATGGTTGTGGTGGTGATGGTGGTGGTGATGATGCGCCCGTCTGGAACGCTCTCTCACGACGTTAGCAGTTTTACTGTACATCCACGCATTCTCGAGCAGAAGCTTTGCTTCGTCAGCTTCACTCCTCTGATTCTCACCACCACCTCTCATTACCACCGCTCCACGTCTCACCAACACCATCGCCTCTCACCACCACCAACTCTAACCACCACATCTCACCACCACCTCTCACCACCTCTAACCACCACTAACCACCACCGCCTCTCACCAACACCGCTTGTCACCACCACCACCTCTGCCCCCCACTGACTTCCCCCCCTAGCTCCTACCCACCCCCACCTACCGACCCCATCTCTCTACCTAACCCCCCACCAACCCAGCCACCATCCTATCTTACCTCACCCTCGCCAAACACCCCACCCTCGAATCCCCCATGCACCTAGCCCCTCCCCTCCACCCTCACACTGGGCTGGCTACACCGCCTCATTTGCTCCGCTGCCCGCTCGGGCCACACTCAACTCTCCACTCACAGGAAGGACGCGACACACGTGCTCTTCGTGAATGACACGAGACACGCACTTTATGTATGAAACGAGACACCCTTTATGAATAAAACGAGACGTGCCCGCTTTATGAAAGACACGAGACACGCACTTTATTCATGACACGAGACACACGCTTCATGAATGATACAAGACACGCACTTTATTAATGACATGAGACACACGCTTTATGAATGACACGAGACACGCGCTTTATGAATGACACGAGACACGCTTTATGAATGACATGAGACACGCTTTATGAATGACACGAGACACACGCTTTATGAATGACATGAGACACACGCTTTATGAATGACACGAGACACGCACTTTATGAATGAAACGAGACACGCGCTTTATGAATGACACGAGACACGCATTATAAATAACACAAGACACGCGCTTTATTAATGACATGAGACACACGTGCTCTTCATGAATGACACGAGACACGCTTCATGAATGACACGAGACACGCGCTTTATGAATGACATGGGACCGCATCCGTGAACATAAAGCAGACCTGAAACATGGTAGGACAAATACCTCAGCCGTGGCAGATCACTGTTACAATTCAGTGGGCTCACATGACATTGACTTCTCCAAGACAGATGTTCTCTGCAAGCCATCTGGCTATCATGAGAGATTCGTTCATGAGGCGATCCACATATACAAACACAGAGACAATTTCAACCGAGAAGATGGATTCTGGCTTAGCAATCATTGGAAGGACGTAATAAACCATTTCTGATCTTAACTGATTGTGTTCACGTTTACGGTGACTTTCAGACCGCGTTCCACTCACTGGCATTGTATTCTCCGCAGGGAATGGATTATTTGCTCCGCTGCAAGTTTCCTACCACTACTCACCCATTGACACGACGGTCAATGGTACAGTGTATAATAACAAATAGTATAACATTTATATGCTTAATACAATGTACAAAGTAATATATAGTATCGTAATTGTATAGTAAATATATAGCAGTGTGATACACATTAGGGTGGGTAGAATAATACAGTGTTATATTAAAATGTATAAGGTATAGGGTGGTTTATAGCAATACAGTATATAATTTAATGTTGGGTTTGTCTAAGGCAGTATATAGTACGGTGTAGACTCGTGTGATGTAAGAGAATAAAGTTTAGATGGAAGCATATTATATAATTTTTACGACGTAGAATTGTAATGTATTACTTACTGTTAGTAACTCAGCTTATTGTAGAGTATAGTAAGTATACTGATGATACTATGTAGTTTATACTTTAGTTGTTTACGTGTTGGTTTAAGTTACTGCAGCTACATACTATTAACACTCCTTCCTTTTATTAATGCTACCCCTATCCCCTCCCTTTTATGCTAATTAGTACTATTCACATACCTGCATTTCCCATATCCTCTCCCTTTGATGCTGTTAATCCTGCATAATGCGCATGCATATGTAGTACTAATCACATTCCTGCATTTCCCATAAATATGCTAAATTCCTCTTGATATGCAAATTCTTTTGTCAAGGCGCCCAGCTTATATATATATATGTTCTAAGCTTGTGTGCTGTTTCATTCAGACGCTGTCGCCTCGACAGACCTGGTTTTCACCTGAGGACGGCTGCTTGAGTTGTGGCCGAAACGTCGTGAGAATTATTTTATTATGTTTTATTTTTATTATTTTATCACTTCCCTTCTACGTGACTTTACCGAAAGAACCAAGAAGATGGGGCACGCGCTTTATGGAATCGCCTCTCCGCTGCGACAAGGGGTGAGGGTCTCCTTTGTGAGTGGCTGATGGATGTGGTGCGGCTGAGAGGAAGTGGTGGTGAGAGGGTACCGGTGAGGTTGGTGGTGGTGTGCAGCGGGTGATAGGAGGCCATGCTGCCGGTGAACGGCGGGGGTGGTGGTGCTGAGAGGCGGGGGTGGTGGTGCTGAGAGGCGGGGTGGTGGTGCTGAGAGGCGGGGGTGGTGGTGCTGAGAGGCGGGGGTGGTGGTGCTGAGAGGCGGGGGTGGTGGTGGTGCTGAGAGGCGGGGGTGGTGGTGCTGAGAGGCGGAGGTGGTGGTGGTGCTGAGAGGCGGGGGTGGTGGTGCTGAGAGGCGGGGGTGGTGGTGGTGCTGAGAGGCGGGGGTGGTGGTGGTGCTGAGAGGCGGGGGTGGTGGTGCTGAGAGGCGGAGGTGGTGGTGGTGCTGAGAGGCGGGGGTGGTGGTGCTGA